CAGTGCATCCTTTGTGCACGGCATTGATTTGCGTCGAATTTTCCCAGACTGAAAATTTTGAATCTCGCCTCGTCAACATTGTTTGAAGTTGGCATGAAGCAAGTCTGGACTGGGGCAAAACAAATTGGCAAATGATTCGTAAAAATCAGAAAATCATCTAACACTTTCAAGGACGCCACCTTCCCTTTCCGTGAAAGGCACTGGTACTGTCGCAACCTAAGAATATATTTTAGTATATATTTGAGAGAAGACGACAAGTTATTAGGTTTTCACATTAAGTTTAAAGCCTCGTTTACACGCACTATACGTGATATTTGGTACGGCACGGATAAAAAGGTAGCCGTACCATTTTTATCTGAGCTTGGACTATATTACGACTTCACTCAGACTACTTGCAATGCTAAATTGTAATGTACACATGTATAAAATAAATACAAACCCGTGATGCATGAAAGCCAATAAGTGCTTTACATAAACGCAATCCCAATTGATCAGCAACTTCATTGACATCAATACTTTTTCTGTTGTTTCCCGAACCAGTGTCAAAAATTAAGCGAGATCTGATGGGCCTTATGCGCTAACATCAATACAAATACATCCGTGTCAGGACTTCGGATTCTGACATTAGTGGTGTGCATTAAAGACGCATGTTGCGCGTGTAGCAGTAATCTCGTAGCCTCCTCATGATTTGAATGCAGCTCTGCAACATTCTCAATATTCAAAGTATATCGCTGAAATCAGTGAAAAACTTGTGACATTCTGCTCCATGCGTGAAAAAACAAGGTAACATCCTGCAGTGCTGGTGCAGATCAAGCGTGGCCATGTGTTGGAAAACGAACTGAATCAAAGCTTCTTGTTTTCCCCCAAGGACAGAAACTTCTTAAATTGTCGAGGGACTTTCTGAGTTGCACCACCAATCCTAACCACGTGACACCCGACTCGATCTTTTCTCTCTCAAGATTTTTTATGCTGACTAACGGATAAGTATCGCAAATAAAGTCCACCCTATTTGCTTGAACTTTCTTTGCCGAACCTGATGATAATGTTCACGACTTTTTCTGCTAGATCACCAAATGTCTCGGGAATATCCTTGAGCGTCTGGAATAATGCCATTCCATCAAGCAGAAGCACATCGGCACTCTCGGGAGGCTGGTTAGTGCAGTCCGCACGGCGTAACAATTCGTGCATTAGTTTACATTTTTCAGTTTTCACTAAATTGCCATTGACAGTTGCCAAAGGCGCAGGATACTGTCTTAAACTGAATTTCATCAGGTTCCGCATGTCAATCTCACGTGATTGTCCAATGGCTAAGAGGCGGGATATGAATTTTGAATCATTACGTAATTCAACGACTTTCCCTTGCTTCGTGTTTGTTTTGCCGTTGGTGGTCTTCTTCGAAAACGTGTTCAATTTTGTCTTCTTTATGGTCGTGAAGATATCTGGTTTGTCAGATTTGACCTTCTCTGAGACAAATTCTGCGAACTTTTCCTCGCCAATATCGCGGGACTTCAGAAGATCCTTTGATACGGCAGGTGTAGCAATTTCACCGTTAGCAATATTTACGAGTTCCTGAAGATCGTCATCAAATGGATTCGTCATATTGGATAGCGTTTCCACAACGCTTTCGACCTCAGCATTATGACGCTTAATTTGGGTGGAATCGACGTCTTTACGTGATCTACAATGGAGTAAAAGTCATTCTTTTTTATCATGCATGCAGCATGCACATATATGGGATTTCACAATTAAACCAAAAAAATAAGTAAACACGAACCTTTTTTCCTCATTATGGTCAGCAAGAACATAGCATTTCCTCGTCATGGATGCTCTCTCCGAATGCGACAAAATCCACCGTTTTACAGCCGCACGGTTCAATGTAACTCCAACAATCCCGCCTTTAGTTTTCGAGTCCCTGTTAAATGTTTGCTCCATCGTCTGGTCGCATGCTGTTGAAGAAAATCCGTACCGATCTTGTCTTTGACACGTCCAGTTCTCAACCACTACGGCACTACCTGGAGAGCTCCTACATTTAATCCATACAAATGACCGTCAGCTAAAACAGTGATCTGAAGTTACTCAGAAATTTTCTATTGTCTTTTTGTCACATGAAGAATGAGAATGGACCGCTTTAGGAGTGAATACTACTACGAATACGAGTACGAGATTCGTAATGTTTGCGCCGAACTCCGTATTGCTTGATTACGCCATCTCGTAAAAGACATAGTCGTCGGGCTTTTGAGTACAAGATTTCACAACACGAGTTTTGCATAGTGGCGTCAGCAAACAACACGCGATAATGACGAATCTCGTACTCGTTGTCACTGCTAAAGTTCAATAATATTCTTCTAGTTTTTCCTGGGTGCGTTTTATCCAGAGCAATCATCTCCAACCAATAAATGGAGCCGTATCTGGCGTAATTCACCCGATCAGTAGCAAAAAACCACGGCAGCATGGAACGAACAGCAGACAAGTGCAATTCCCAGTTGTTTTCTCTCGTAGCGCGGATGAACAGGAGCAGAACTTGTACCATTTGAATGTACAGTAGCCAGTACGCCATTGTACGGCTTGTTGCCGACTTCGTCTCTATGAACAGACTGAAATTATCCATAATTTCAACGAGCCTTGTCAACTGCAAGATGTCTCCCAGGTCAGGATACGATGCTGTCATGCTTTCTGTAAAAAGAAACAATTGCAACTCTTTTTTATTCTACTGATATTATTGCTTGTTGCTCTACTTTATAGTTAAATTTAGAAATTACCACGGTTGATATAATAGAGGTTGTGTTTGTCGTTGGACAAATAGATGTACGCAACTATAAGCCTATTAAACGCTATTCTGTAATTAGTATAACATTTGCAATAATAACATACCAATAAACGCGTTAATTACGATTTGAGATTCGTTTGGTAATGATTTGATATAGGAATTAAACAGCATACGCATCATTGCCTCATACACAACTTTGTGCGTTCGCAAACTTCAGTTATAATGCTTGCCACTTATTACTCCTTTCAACGATCCCACAGCGACAAGATCAGATTCAACTAACAAATCCTAAAAAGACATTATTGCTTATTGGATTATGTATGTCTACACGTAGCGTTTTCAAGAAGAACAACTTATTTTCCCAGTATTTCCCGAAAGTTAGAATTCATAAGACTACCTTTAAGCCTCCATCACCAAATAGTTTAGAAATTGCACCACAGAAAGACATTGCCATATGAAAAGCTCCCATGCGCACGATTAAACGATCCAGATAGGTAACATCCTTCCATCTAATCTGTTGAACCTTTTCGTAAATGGCTTCGTCGAAAACAAGGCATACATGGCGTACACCCAATTCATCAGCAATTTTCGTGCTCCTCTGAATAATGGATTTAATTGCGGTCTGTGGAGAACTCTGTGGCAGGGGCATCTATTATGGGTAGGTACACGACTTTGGACAATTGTGGTATGCTTCCTTTGGATAACAATGTGTTGTAGCCTGTCCAGTTTGGTAAACGATTGGCTTGCAGCATCCGACTTACAACAAATAAAAAATCAAGCTTCTTTCCATAGCTTTGTGGTTGCTGATGAGCTTTCTCACTGAGATCAGTGTTGTCAAGAGCTTTGCGGAGATCAACTGTTTCTCTTTTTCCCAAGCTAAATTGAGCAACTTGATCTGGAACATGCTTTAATGATGATGCTCTTCAGATGTTTTCCCTTGAAACACACTCACTTTCGAATGGGCTGTAATCTCTCTGAATTATTATGCCCCCCGTGACATGAGTTGTGTCCTTTCCTGTCTTTGTATCTTCCAGGAAATCGTCATTGTCCCAAGCTATTGCAATGTTTTGGTTCTTTCTAACACCAGCTGGAACAATCCTTCCTTGTGATATGTTTAATTCGGCTAATCCTGTTTCATGGCGCAGTGCAAAATTATTGGACATACAATGACCAAACTGATTCAACAAGTTCACTGCTGCTGATGATCCAGTTAACTGCCTCATTGCCATTGTTAGCGAGAAAGACTTTGGCGTAAACTTTTTCCCATTTGATGAAATGAGAATCATGTCTTGTACCAGTGAAAGGATTTTCGCTTTCTGCTTGTCAGTAACAGCTACATAAGAATCAATATGGGCTTCTTCTGAAAATCCCAGAGTCCACGCCACGAAATTAAACAAAGTTGGCGTAACAACTTTCTGAACATTGTCCATCGTGATGTCTGCAGCAACCGGAGGCCATGGTACCTTAAGTTCCTGGGTACTAGCTATCTTCTCCTTCAGTATCATGGAAGCATGGTACAATACTTGTGCCTCATTAACAACGGGTGCACTTGCTCTCACGTCTACATCAAATTCGTTGTCATCGTCATCATCCTTGCCGTAATCACTTTCACTGCTCAGATGTAAATCGTGGTCATCACTCATAACATCAGATGGGCACAAATTTTCTGCGAAGACAATTTCACTAACGTTGCATCGCTTTGGTGTCACAAAAACAAGTTGTGGATATGAATGAGTCAGGTGTTCCTTCAATCGAAATTTCCTAAAGTTTCTGGCATCTAGCCCTTCAACTCTTTGTACGATCTTGACAAACTTTGCATATAGTTGTGACATAAATGTTATTTGTTTATTCGCGATGAGCTCCTCGACTACTTCTTTACAAAAATTTTGATAACCTTCATCGAAAAGAGGCTTAGCGCTGCCACTTGCTTTGCTTACGTCTTGTTTACGTAAAAAGTTCGTGTAATTCGTGTAGCATCTCCTGTGGTACCTAACCTCGATTGCAACGTAGTCTTTATCGCGTATTTGTAGTAAAATTTTCGTCATTCTTTCTTGTGGCTGCTTCGCGTAATAGACCCGCATCAACAGTCTCGCAGAGGACAAGTGACATTCGTTTTCTTTTTCCAGATTGCTAGTATATAATTATAAAGTACAGCAATCGTCAGTTATACAGATACTTTTGAGAAATTACAAATAATTTTGAGAAACATACACTGTTAAAAATATCTCTGTTATTTTACAGTAAAAAGTACTGGCAGCTTGGACGCCAGAGCAATTACTGTAAAATTACAGAAACTGTATTTTAACAGAAATCTGTTATTTTACAGAAACTTTATGTTAATATATAAACCAGAAAAATAGCTTTAATATACAGTGCAATATACTGTTAATATACAAAAAATCTTAGTTATTTTACGGTAAAAAGTACGGCAGCTTGGACACTAGAACTACTGTAAATTACAAGTTAATTTTACAGTAAAAGTACTGTAAAATTACAGAGACTATATTTTAACGGAAATCTGTAATTTTACGGGAATATCATCACGTTATTGTATAAAGATCAAAGTATAGAGCAATAGTTTTTAACATATTATATTAAAAAATATAAAATCATACAACTGTTATAGGGAATTACAGTTAAACATAAAACTGAACATCGAATGTCAGGATAAAATAAATATGGCATTTAATACCATGCAACATAATTTACAAATAAACCTTAGGTGCATGAAACGCAATATTTGATGATAAATGTCTCCTTAAACAGCATTTTTTTATAACAATAACAAAGTAACATATGACAAAATCGTCAAATTATACGGTTTTTAACATCTATATGAACTATCAGTAAGCTCCTTATAAAGTCCATTTGCTTTGATAGTCTTTTAATGTGTTTGCTAAGGTTAAAACCTTAGGGTTAATGGAATGTTGTTTCCCTTTCTTTTTGGATCTTTTGTTCCCTTTTTCTGGGTTTAAATTGAGAAAACATCTATATTTTAAGAAAGAAAAATACGATATTTAAAAATTCTAATTATAAATAAAGTTAAAATATCTGCATTCTTATTTCATGGGTTTTAAAAGATATGCATGTATATCCAATGCTAACCTTTGAATGAATTCCAAAGTAGCTGCTAACTCGTCGGGATATGCTATATTTAACACATAGTATGAGGCAAACAACATCATCATTCCTTCAGCTATGCTTGTGAGAGAGTCGTTTACCACAATACCATCCACCACCAAACAGCACCTTTCCCCCAGCAACTCATCGCCTATTTATGATCCAATTAATAAGGCATAATTTAGTGTTATTCGCAGTCAAGTGCATTCCACTGGGGACAGGCAAATAAGCTATAATTGTGTATTATTTTGTCAAAAATATAGTCAATTGTTTTTCATGTAGTTGAATTAATGGATTAATTAATTACTACCTGGATTAATTTTTCTCCTAGCCTGAATAAAATAAACTTCCTGGGTGGCTATAGCCGGATGGATATATAGATAATATATAATATAACCATAAAACAAACACTTACCAAATACAGATATGTATGGTGTTGTAGGACAGTTTTTCACAACTTCTGTAACAGTGGCAGTTACCTAAAATATACGAAGCTAGAACTTAATAACTGAAATTTCTGACATATTCACCAAAATCCAGTTGTATCAAGCCCATTCATTCACCTCAACTGCATGTGGATATAAGCCGAGCTTAAATAACTTTTAAACCTGTCATGAATGAGTTATATTTAAATAATATAATGTACTAACAAATGTATACATTAGTCCAATTAAGTATTAAATAAATCTATAGACTTGCCTTATTGTCTGAGTTTAACAATCTGTTTAAGCTAAACTGTAAATTATAAATATTTAAACTCGGCTTATCCACAGTTGAGGTAAATGAATGGGCTTGATACAACAAGCTACTGCACAATTGACAATTCCCCCTTCCAAATTGCCCTTTTCAAAATTTATGTATCTATTGGAGTATCTGATATTTTGGGATAATTGTTACTCAAATGATAGTGTATTGTTCTTATCTATAATAACCACTAAACCATCACTATCAGATATCCCAATATCAGATATTTCAAAAGATCAATAATTTTTGAAATGGTCAGTTTACTGCAGTACTTACATCAAATGACTTAATCATAAGCTCTTGAGGTTCTTCAAAGTACGCCAAAAGCATTAGAAATACACCATCAATCTGGGGTACTTGCATTTTCTCTGCAGACATAGCAGCTTCTATACGAATAAGCAATTGCTTCAGGTTTTTCTTTGAAGGAACAACACACTCTTTCATGAACTTGAATATGGTATCCGCTTTGTCTCCAATACTTTCTATCATGACTTTCTGGATCTTAAATCCCATAAGAAGTTCAAAATGCTGGAACATGCAATCTTTCTCAAATAAGAAAGGCCACTGGATTTGAACTTCTTGTACTGGCACAGGGTTTGGATCAGTTTGGTTGATTAAAAGACGCTGAGATGTGTACGTATTTTCCATAAATTGCAAAACTTTGTTTTTGTCCTGGTTTTTCTTAGGAAACTCTGAAACAAGCCAATCTTGTTTCGATTTTTGACTGCTAGGTGTCTCGTTTGTAGGAAGCGCAATCGGGTTGCCAGTTTATACATCCGTATGAATCAGCTCCAGGTCTTTTTTTCCCTTTGATTTTGGTTTCAGAATCATTATCATCATCACTGGAAACACTCAACTTTACAATAGCTTTGCCAGCTTTTCTATTTAGGTTTGCCATCTTTTCTTCAAGTTGTTTTCGCAGCGATTCGTAACCCGAACCAATAACAGTATCACCAATAGTGTCACAGAATGAATCCTTGTACTTGGATACCATCATTTCGGCAATACGGGCCAGGTTTCTTCTTCCAGGAAGTGAGGTGTGCATTTTAATATCATCACATATTATTCGTACCATCTCACGTCTATCACGCAATGTTGGTCGTACCTTACTGGTACAGGCATCGAGCAAAGATTTAGGAAATTTATTCCAGGGTATTTGGAAATTATTGATCCAGTAGTTACTTGTCTTCCCTCCAGATGCACTATCATTATCTGATTGGATATCAATATCATCAAACTGAATTGGAGTATTCGTCCGGAACATGGTGAATTAAGTGAACTGGTGTTACTATTCACTGGTGTCGTGTTTGAAGTGTCCTTCCAGGAGGGCAATGCAGGCATAGTTATTTGTGCAACAGAGGCTTTTGCTACAGAAATGTGAAGCATACATATGTTGCATGCAAATATAAGGAAAAGCACAAGCAAAGATAAAACAATACAATGCAAAGAAGCATATGCAACATAAACACAAACCTAAGCACAGGAATCCACAAATTAAAGGAACTTAAAAAGTATTCATTGTTGAATAAAATGTATTCATTCTTAATAGAATGAGTACACGTACATGCTGTGCATAAAATTTATGTTTTAATTTGGTTGTTAATTGTAAAGCCTTATCACCATGCATACACACCTGCCCCACAATGCCGCAATAATTTTCTTATTTGTATCGGTTTAAGCACATCAGTCAAATCTTGCTCTTGAAGAAGTTGTAGATCTTCAACACTATCAACTCCCATCCCAATCAATTTATCTTTTGTTACCTCAATCAAATCTACTGACAACTGGGGAAGTAACTTCTGAAGTAGTTGTACAATCTCATCCATGTCTACAATATCTTGTTACAGCTACTGTAGATCTATGGCAAGATCAAAAATTAGGCTGGCAGAATTGTATATATATATATATATATATATATATATATATATATATATATATATATATATATATATATATATATATATATATATATATATATATATATGTAAAGGGTGTACATAAAAAAACTGCAAATGCCATAATTTGTATGCACGAGATCATACATTAGAATTTCATTGCCTGTTGAACTAATTATGTTCCGGCATTTTTTCACATTGTGTGTTTATTTTTTAGTAATGTACACAGATACGTATTTGCAAATCCAAGAAGTGTAATTATTTGCACAGCCATATGGAAATTCTAAGGTGTGATTTTGTGCATCCAAATTATGGAATTTACAGTTTTTTATATACCCTGTTTATATACTTTCGCAAAGTTAGGTAAAGTTACGGCTTTAACCCAGCAAACTAGTCTATATAAATATAACCCATGCAACCAAGGTAGCTTTTCAAAAATTTAAGCTAAAACTGCATGTTTTAAAACAATGACTTGCCCTTTCTCCATCGTGTATGCTGGCAAACAGCAGTGTGATTTGAGATCAGACAACTTAACACAACTGAATCCTGACTCTCTACTAACACCAATTTTATAATATCCCATTTCAAAGTGATATTGTGCTGGAACTTTTTTAACCAGAAGGCACACTGTATCATCTTTATGTTGAAAAATCATTATTATTTGACCCAATGCTAAATTACTCTGTTGGCAATCTAGGACAATATAAAAATCTTTTTGGTATTGAATACCATCAATAACTGCCACAGAAGAGGTGACAACTTCTTCATTTATTGAGTGATGGTTGCAAAAGGCATTTTTGATGCTATCATTATACAGATCTACATTAAATGGGATAGCACTTTCAAAATTTGTGCTTGCACCAAAAAGTGAACCATTGTTAAGGTAGCCTGTAAAAGTTGATGCCGCTCAGCAAATGTGTGACATATATTGATAAATTCTGGCTGTAGCGAGCACACCTCTTAAAGTATGAATGCTTACTCTCAACGAAGAGTCCAAACTCTTATCAATGGACCAAATTGTAAAATAAGTCTTGGTGCCATATAGTGGTGCTTTGGTCTCACTGGCTTGTCAGGAAAGAGTGAAACTCTTTGCTCTAATATCTTCAATTTTTACTCTTAAATGTGCAACTTGTGCCAAACTAATTTCTGGTGCACATATAAGCTCAACAACTTCCCTTAGAAGTAGAGTTAACTGCCAGACAGGATCACAGGTGTTGGCAACTCTTGGACCAATATAAAGTGGTAAAAGTTTTAGCAAACACCAGTTCTGAACAGCATGACCACCTAATTTACTACCTTGTTCAGAAATTATACTTGGTTTATTATTGGCATCACTTCCACTATACTTAAACTTTGCCACTATATGATTGAATTGGGCATATGTAAACCACTTGTTAACTTTCACAAAATGGTGTATATACAAGGCCAAATCATAATTAACAACACCTTCAAACAGATCATGGCCTAAACAAGGTGGTAAACCTGGATTACAAACGTGATAATATTTTAATTCATTGAAAATTGAATTAAACTTGATACCCTTATAGTTACCTAAGTCTGGATTACTTTCTACATTTTGCAAGTTGGCATTGTAATTATCAGGGGACCTTTGAGAAAAAGTGTCAAAAATATCACCAAGCTGAATGTTTTTAGTTTCCATAAGACAAAATCTGCACACATATGGAGAGCTGCTAAAGTTTTCTACAAATCCCCCGATAGAATGACTACCTAAATTATCGCCAAGAATCATAGTAACAGTTCCTCGTATGTATTCTTTCTCAACAAGAACACCATGTTCTTCAATTTTTTTCAGATCATTTACCAGGATGCGAAACACGGCATCTTGTCCAAAAAACTTAAAATCGCTTTCTCTTACAAGGAGAACAAGCTGCATTTGATCAATTTGTGATCTATTTTGAGGGTAAATGTTTCCTAATGTTACATAAACAGCTAAAACTTTATGCTTTTTTTTCGCTGATCCCAGAGGATTGACAACTTCAAATGCATCCTGGTAGAGAATGAGCTTTATTGCATTTCCTAGCTCAACAAAAAGAACATTACTTTTGGCCACACTACCATCCATGAAATCTCTTAATATATCATCTGAATTTAAAATAGGATTTGCAAATTGCTTCTTTACACCTGCATCTTTTAGAAGTTCCTGTATCGTTTCAATTATTGGTACATACTCAAAATATCTTTTCACATGATTTTTATCAAAACCTAAGTATATTGTAACAGGGGCAACATATCTGAATTTACTCCTAAAAAACTGTTTTCTCCTATACTCAGTGCTTAGTGCTCCTTTATTCCCATGGGCCAGATTGAATATATCATTTGGCAAAAATTCATTTACAATTTGGTCAATTACTGCACTTCCAACAGACATTTCTCCCAATTTAGTTTTTATATGATGTTTTAAGTGAGTTTGAGACATGTTATGCATTGCCTGCATTTCCTGGATGATCTTTTGGATAGTGCTAGCAGGCACATGATATTTGGCATTTAGTTTCAGGTAAAACAATGCCAAATTTTTAACAAATAACTCACTAATATCCTCTTGGGTATCATCATTTTCAAGATTGTCATTGTTGGATGTCTCTCCTGAATCAAAACCATCAAACTGGCTTAAATTTGAAGTGTTATTAGTTGCTTGGCTATTTACATGTACAAGTAACTCAGAAGACACCTCTCTGTTGGCAGGATTTTTATGACGCCTACTTAGATGAGAAGTAAATGATGATTTTATTTTGAATTTTGAGTTACAGCCGTTAAAAGGGCAAGTTACCTCGACACCTTGGGTAATGTGATCTTTTTGATGAGCAATTAAATCTTTTATGCTTTGTAGAAACTTGGAGCAAAAACTACATTGGCATTGTATCGGCGCAGAGCTAACAGTATTAGATCCCTCTCGCCTTGCATTTTCATGATCTCTTGTAACATGCGATTTGAATGCACTATATGTTCGAAACCTTCGAGCACAATTTTTAACAGCGCAAGGGAACGTTACATTGGCCTCGTTGGAATGAAGCCTGTAATGGTTGGCATAAGCTCCCAGCGAACGACTTCGATGAAAACACGTAGGCGCCTTGCAACGGTACATACTAATTAACAATACGGAAATATATAACACAACGAGCATTGAAGCGGAAAGACATAAGTAGTACTTACTAATTCACATAAACACAAACTAGGACAAACACAGCCTCGAGGAAAGTGGTCACTTCAAAACGACACTCGACTGTCCGATGTTGAGACGCGACTTATCACGCTGATTATCCAACGGTAGGAAACGTAAAAGCCTCAGCTCGGCCAGGAAATTAGTATAGAAGATTCTCTGATAAGTACCCAACGGTGTAAAACTTTTAAAACAAATATTTTAGCCTTTTTAGGCACGTAAATGCAGTTCTTTCGCACTTCTCCGGCTTTTCAACCTTTCTTCCGGCTTTGCAACTTTTTGCCAGTGAAGACAAAACTTCACAGTAAAGATCAAAGGTCAACAAAAACCACAATCACATTTCTGTATCACGTGTTACTCACGGACACGGTTTGAACAGCCATTAGCACTGAGAATTTTATAATGATACTCGAAACGTGGCTAGTATTTATTTATTAGGGAAAATATTACATATTTTGATTCGAAAGAGTTAAAACAAAACAAATTAAATGATTGCTATTAAAAGAGTATATTATGACTTTATGTCTATTCGCAGTGCATGGAGTTCACATGCACGCCACTAACTATTAAACAAGCTTTTATTAAAAACAAACGAAATAAGCTTGTTTTTCAACAGGAACTACGATTTTTCCGGTTTATATCATGTGCAAATACTAATTAAAAGCTATTTCAGCCTATTTGCCATCATTGACAAATTGAAGCCCGCAAGAGACGAACATTTTTTTCCTGTAAACAAGTCAGTTTGGCTTGGCATTTCTTTTCGTGTGTGCATACGTCCGATACAGCAAACAAAAATTTCTGGTCGGGCGTACACACGAACAGTTTTTGGTTAAAAAGCTAACATGACCAGCTTTTGTTTGAATCAGGCACCTCGTCTGGCTCATGCATGAGTCATGATTCATGTGCAAGTAAAAATTTCTCGATTTTTACAACACATTATCTATACTCTATACTATAGCCATAGGAATTATAGCAGAAAATTATCCCTAAGCCTAAGATACAGAGTATGTACTTTAACAACATTTTACTGTAATTTATCTTTACAGTAAAATCATTACATATAAGACTACAGCTTGTCTGTTAAATATAAGACTTCTGCTTTTTTACAACATTTTACTGTTAATTTACTGTCCCAGTAAAATCACGGAAAAATGTTACAATAAATTATCTGTTAAAATACAGATTCTTTTTTTATTACAGGAATTAATACTGTATTTTGAGAATTACAAATCAATTACTGTAAAAAATTACAGAACTTTTTCTGTAAAAATACATTTATTTTTAACAGTGTACACACATATTGTCTTTTATTACTTTTACCAATGTATGCCTTGTAAACTTACCATGACAAACAAATCTGATTTTTTTTCATAAATTATGCACCTAGGTTATAAAACATGCAAAGATCTCATGCCAGACGTCCTGTGCACATGACTATCATTCTCCACTGATAAGCGTGTTAACTTTTTTTGCGGTTGTCTCACTTCACTGTCCGTTTTCTCTTGGTTGATTTTACATAGATGTTTTGCTTTCGCCGTTTGTAGCTTATTCTCGTCATATATTCTTTTGTAACAGTTAACATGGTAATACCACTGCAGATCCCCACCATCGTTTGCTGAAAGAAACTCGCTCACGCCTTCGTCAGTGAATAAACTATACGAGTTTTGACAAATTTCCGATTTTCGCCTTTTAGCTTAACCCATCTTTTTCGGCAGCTGATAAATTTCAACAAACGCAGGTTGGTAACTTTCGTAAGCGATTGGGAAACATCGTCAAAATGAATAAAACATTTGCATACCTTTAAATTTTTTATGTCGGTCATGGTTTTTTTTAGTAATTTTGTAAAACCCGCGTAAAAGACCCTTTTAATTTCGGGTGCTACACAGCCTGATTACAGGCAAACGCTCGTGTTGCCTAGGTGATAACAATCAAAATCCAAGATGGCGGTCAGTTTCAAAGATGGAAAATGACGCAAGTTTGGTGTTAATTCTCTACTTCTTGTGCACAGTTATGAATGGTGGCTCATAGGCGGCCCAGAACTGATCTCACTGACCTCGCGCTACGCTATGTTGTCTGAACAGTTTTATATTATGACATAATTTTATATTATGTCATAATATAAAACTGTTCAGACAACATGAGCGTCGCGCGAGGTCAGTGAGATCAGTTCTGGGCCGCCTATGGGTGGCTTAGCATTTTTGAACACAAGACACTTATATACATTGATATACGGAAGAATTTCTTAGCCTCCCAACACGTGCAACGAACGTGAATGATAGGATTGAACAGGTGACGGCCTATAACTCTGTAAGAAGTGACTTTTTTAGTTGTGAAAAATATTGCTTGCCTTGGGACATTTCACTGCACGTTGTCTTTCGACTTCACAGCCGAGAAAATCAAACTCTTGATATACATGATTGTTTACTGAACTGCACTCCAGTTAGTCACACTTGAGTAAGCTTTTTGAATCCAATTTGACCAGTTTGCTTAACAAATGAGTACGCCCTTTCAAAGTGCAAAGTTATGCTCACACTCCACTTATTCTCACACTTCAATCACACTTGGGAGCAGCTCACTCGAGTTTAACTTGAGTGTGAGTGTGAGTGAGCTTTTAGAATACAGCCGTTAGCTATAAAACACAACAGGTCATATGCAATTTGTAAAGGAATATATTTCATAAAAATTCAAGTTACATATATAGTTACACGAATTAATCATATATTACATGCATACTATATACCATTTATCAAACTGTGATTATCTGTGAATATTAAAAATTATTATGTATTTACACAGGGTAAGCATTTCAGTGTTTTAAAACATAATAAACATAATACACGTTACCGCAATATACACCCTTAAGCTCAAAAATTTTGTAAGACCATAGGCGGCCCAGAACTGATCTCACTGACCTCGCGCGACGCTCATGTTGTCTGAACAGTTTTATATTATGACAAGGTAGGCAACTCTCACGCCAAATAAGCTAAAAACGCACGACGGTTGACTCAAACACCTTCACAAAACCGCAAATATTTCATAAAAATATGGCGAATAAGAAAAAAAAAGTACAACACATTAAACTTGAATAATTTTACTACATTTATACTATATTTTTAGCATTCAAATGTATTCCTATGCATGTATAAAACGTGAATGTTTTTATGGTTTCTGGCAAATATATTTCAAAACCTATGCTGGGGACACCTTGCCTATACCTTCGTCATATTTTTAAATTGAGAATAGAAAGCTGATTGGCTCTTTTTAAACGACAGCCAATCAGCTTTCTATTCTCAATTTAAAAATATGACGAAGGTATAGGCAAGGTGTCCCCAGCATAGGTTTTGAAATATATTTGCCAGAAACCATAAAAACATTCACGTTTTATACATGCATAGGAATACATTTGAATGCTAAAAATATAGTATAAATGTAGTAAAATTATTCAAGTTTAATGTGTTGTACTTTTTTTTTCTTATTCGCCATATTTTTATGAAATATTTGCGGTTTTGTGAAGGTGTTTGAGTCAACCGTCGTGCGTTTTTAGCTTATTTGGCGTGAGAGTTGCCTACCTTGTCATAATATAAAACTGTTCAGACAACATAGCGTAGCGCGAGGTCAGTGAGATCAGTTCTGGGCCGCCTATGGTAAGACTTATAGAGAATTGTGCAAAACCGCTAAATAGGCTGTGACCAAATTGAATATAGCTAGCATATATATGTACTGATATATGCAGTTCTTATTCACTTCCCATTGTAATGTCCATAAGCAAGTGTGTTCACTCCATCGTTTAAAATATATCGTTTGTCATCATATAAGAACTAAGACCTATTTTATTAAGTATAATGGAGTAGATTTCATGGCGTTCACTTCGAATCTGATTCATGCTAGCCATTGTCTGGTACATGAGTACTTTGGAAAGATCCGGGATGGTGAATCCGACATAGATGGGACGGTTTAGGTAAAGCTTCGTCTTTCTCATGTTGACGGCCGCTAAATCTTCTGAGAATATACGGAAGTAGTCAAAGGAAAGGGACGCTATTAGTTTTAATAGTTTCGTCTTGTCGTTGACGAGTTTGACGTCGACGCGCTTTCTCAAATTTTCCATGGTTTTACCAAACACCGAGTTGTTCATCAGTTTAAAAAAATCTTTCTGGAAGTCGTTTGCAGTGTGGTTTCGTCTCCCGGTGTTAAAATCAATATAAGACTTTAGCCATGTGCTTTGCTGGAATACTAAAACGCGGTAGATCTTTGTCAGCTTCATGCCAAGTGTCAGGCATTGCTTTAAATTGCGGTAATGAACCACATAGTTGGTCTTGTCTTGAAGATTCGGCATCAATTTAAATACAGCGCCACCACGGAGTTGCAAACTTTCCGAGACATCCAGGCAGTACGGTGACAACATTTCTGAAGAAATATTCATTTTCTTAGGTGCTAGAGGATAATCGTTGTGAAGATCGTGTAAATCGGGATAGTGAAGGTCCACTTCCAATGTGTAGCCTTTTTCGTCATCGTCAGCAAAGTCTGTGATGTCAAGTTCTGCAATCTCTTGGTCGGTTAGCCAGTCAAACTTACCCGTGGGTAGAGGCTGTGACATTGCCCAGCCGAAGAGGTTGTTAGCATCAAGATACATCACGTAGGAAGTATCTTTTTCTGGGTCATAATCGGGTATGTATGGATTGTTAGCTTTACCATAACGGTTGCTAATCATTGAAATTCCACCGCGAGGACCTTCTTCGATGAATAGACACATGTCTGGATCGGTCAGCAGCTCGAGTTCGACTTCAGTCATTTTCAAACACGCTTTCCAGGCTAGACCAGGACTTGTATAGAAGTGGCAGGGATCCAAGTTGTAGGCTTTGAGGCATACGCTAACCTAAGCGAAAGGTAATTCAGATTTTGAAGAGTTATTTAGTTCAAAAATTTAC